TTTATCTTCCCCTCACAGAAGATATCACACAACAGCATAAGATTTTTCATCACTCCCACCCTCCTTTTCTTGAGGGTATACATAACACAGAGAACAAATTGTTGCAACTTTTAAGGACCCTACTGACCCTCCTTTAGACATGCAAGTTTAAATATTTAAACTAACATATTTAAAGTATACAGCAGATATGTGACAAGGACATGAAATATTTGTACACTGATTTGCATGAAATTAAAAGGACAATTCTCCAACCAACATTTCCCCCTCCTATTACCCCTCTAATATTCAGATTTGCTTTATTTGGACTTTACTCTTTTTTCCCCCCAAGTGTTCTCCCCGTTTCATAAAATCAAAAGGAAGACATTATACAATGAACATAAATAAAACCAATGTGATTCTGCATCTCTTACTGTATCAGTTTCAGCAAATATTACTTGAATTACTTTGATTTTTTTTAAGCTAAACATAATACATCTGAGCTTTGCCAGTTCCAGGGAGTAATTAAATTTTCAAAAACTATAGGTAATTAAGACTACCCAAAATTAAAATTGAAGAAGAAGTCAGGAATTACAGAAGTGCATGCATTTCACCATATCTGCAAAGGACTCTGTGTAATTAAACACATATTAATTGCCCTAATCTTCTTAGGCAAGTAATAAATTGGAAGAGCTGATTAATACGCTGGCTTTAGTTCAGCTTGTTAAACATGACACCCTGACAAAGGAAGACTATCTTGAAAAGCTCTTTTAGCTAAGTAATTGAAATTTTACTCTCAGCAATTTGCCATTCTGCAATAAGAGCTATTTGGTATATTGATTACTCATCAGTATTTTTTTTAAAACGTCAGTTATATTGAAAGAGTACCATTATGATGCTCAAAGATTATGAAATGATTGTGAACTTTAATCTTTACTGTCCATCAAGAGTCACTTTCATTCTGAACACAACATGAGTATTTTCTTGTAGGCTACAAATCCTAATTAATTCTAGAAGTTGCTAATAATATTTTATAAAGTCCAAGCAGACACATTAAGTTCCCCACACCAGGAAACCAATGACTACATCAGTATGTAACATTAAAGAGCTGCTGATGCCTCCTGGAAAACTCTGAAACACTTAGTTTTGAGAAAATTCTCCATTCCCTCCCTTTTTAATTATTATTATTTTAAACACAAACACATACACACACACTCACACTCTCTCTCTCATTGGTAAAGTTTACCAGGACAGGAATCATGTCTTCCTAATGCACTACAGAAGGGGGCCCTGGTCCTCATGAGGACACTACCACAACAAAGAATAAACTGAATGGAAACAAGATTTTCATTTAAAAGTGTTTACTCCAGCTGCTTATTCATCACCTGAAAATACCTCAATTTCCAATTATAACACAACTGGTTGCTGAGGAAAGAATAACATTATAAAGAATTAGGGCTACAAGGGCTGGACTCTCATCTCACTATGATAATTTAAGTCCATTAAAATGAAGTTACTCTTGATTTAGTAAGCATAAGGGAGAGGAAAATCAAGCCACAGTGAAGAACAATCAGCAGGAATAGAAGAACTACTGAGAAGCTAAAATATTGTTTTCATACAAATCTTACTAATACAGAAGAATGTAGAAAATATGGGACATGTAGATAGAAGTGTTTCTAAATAAAATGGCTCTTCAAAGTTTTCTATGAAACCATGCAGTTTTAACCTGGATTTCCCATATGCTATTGCAACAAGCAGCATTTTATAACAACCTTCTTATGAAATATCCACAAAGCTTTATAAAACATATTCCAAATCAAAGTAAGTCTGAAAGAACCTAGAAAACCCCAAAACATGTCTTTAAACTCAACTTTACCATTCCACTGAGTTGACATTTTGTGTTTCTCCTGACACAGGACTCGAGAGCTGAATGACTCTGGCCCCCAATATTTACTATTATTTCTATGCTAGCAAGAGACTAGCAATTATGTACAGGGCAAAACAAAATAATGGTGAACCTAGAACTGCTTTTCGGTTCCTTAATTGTGATGTAATATTAATGGTGAATCAGTACACTAGCCAGTTTAAGTAGTGGAATAACCTCAACAATTGAGATATAACGCCAATTAAAAAAAAAAAAAACCCTTCAAAATCTGAACAGAGAATTCTACAGGCCCAGTAATTTGTGAAGTGAGGCATAAAACAGACCTATAAGCAGAGAATGACAGTAAGCAAACTTGGATGTGTCACAAGCACACATGGGTGCACACATGCAAAAATATTTTCTACCCATTTTCTGTGATCCACTGATACCAATGTAGACTGTACAATCCTAATTAAGATTTCTCTTGCCGTCTGGGGGTTCCTAGGAGTTAGATTTCCTGTTTCTCTTCATATGAGCACTTCTCTAGCTTCAAATGAATCATTATTTAGATTGTCAATTCTTTAGGACAAGTGACCATCTTTTTTGTTCCATGTTTGCACCTAGCACAAGGGGGCTCCTAGGCGCTACCACTATACAAATAAATAACCAACCACGAACTCAGAAATGTTTAACCATTGAAATTAATGATTTAGAAGTTTGCAGAACACGCTAATTTGCTGAGTTGTGGAGGGATCGCAGAACGGAAGGTGATGAGAAAATGTGTTTCTGTGGTCTGGATGTCTCTGATGCTAATTTCAGAGTAGTAGTCACTCAGACAACCAAAAAACCCATATGCACCTGAGTGTCAATTCGTCTGATCGCAGAAGAGAGCCGCAAGTCTGATTACATCCTTGTATTGGTCAGAGTAATAGATTGGACACGGGTCACTGAACAAACATCACATCCAACAAGACCTGGATATAATTTATAACTGTAGAATGAGTGTGCAGCCTCCTGGCTGCTTTTAAACAAACAACAAAACAAAAGAAAACACAAACCTGGCTCCCTTGCTCTGCCAATGATGCAATCTGGTAGAAAGGGAAATTGAAAGTGGAGGGTTGGGAGTTATTTAGGGGAAAGGAAAAAGTACAAAGGCAGTAGGTGAGAAATTACAAATCTTTTTTTAGATGAAAAAAGAATTAGGTTCAGGCTTCCAAGACTGAGGGTCTAACCTTATGTCAGTGGTGAGAAGCCAGAGGGGCACTGCCCACAAATGCCTGAACCTGAAGGATATTGATATCAAAGCTTTCATTCAGTCCTACCTGCAGGAATTCCAGAATAGTTGGGATAGCACCATTATTGTTCTCAGTTGCTGTAACATGACATGAATTCTGTCAAAATTGTATTGCAAGATACAAAAGTCTGAGAACAGGACTTTGAAAGCTTAACTCGTTAGCTGATTTTTTCCATCCTTTACAGAAAAGTCCTTCTTGAAATTCATACATACATTATATATATATATATATATATACACACACACACACATATATTTAATTAATTCTAGAGCTGAAGATCATCCAATTTTGGAAATGGTATGAGCCTTATACAGCATCTACCCCATGCTGTGAAACTACCAAAAACCAAGAACACTACCACTACAAGAACATGGAAATTGTCATAATGGATCAGACCTGTAATTCATCCAGTCCAGTATCCTGTGTCCAGCGCCAGATACTTCAGAGAAAGGTGCAAATACTCCACCGTAGGCAGATGTGACATAACCTGCCCCGCTAAAAGGTCTATCTCATCCTAATCCCTAACAGCTCAAGTCTGGTTTAAACCCTAAATAATTCCTTTCACTATTTTACCAGTTGAGTATTAATGACAGACTTCCAATGATTTATATGGAAGAAACTGGGTGGTTTCAGCTAACCATTATCCAACCTTGTGAGTCACTCATTTTACTGAAATTTAGATTTAGAATATTCTCAAACAAATGCAACCAGTTGGCTCAAATATTCTTCTCCAAGAGTTTCTGGAAATGTTTCACTAGCTCTTTCTGAATGATCACTGTTGACAACTTCAACATTTATATTAATATTTCTAGCTTTGGTATTACACAAAAGTATCACATTAAGGTGTCCTGCTCAACTATGTCATTCTGACCAACTAAGACAGCACCATGTTTTCCGAGGCAAATAAAAATGGTATGTGTCAATATGAGGGACTACTCGCTTACTACACTGATCACTAATGTAGTCCTGAAATAGGTGGATGACTACTATGAGATTTAGTAACTAGATAGCAGTATTCTTGTTAGTAATAAAAGAATCCTCCCTCCCCCCAAAAAAAGAGATTTGACACCTGGTACAATTTAAAGGTTATTCTGATTTCTTTTCTTTTTAAATAAGGACTGTTCAAATTCTGCAGCACATATTAACTTTCCATGGGTCCAGCATATCTAATAGATTCTCTAAAGTTCCAGGATGAATAGTGTGGTCAACAACTCTTCTCCTGAGGCACAATGGAACTTTCTGCCATAAAGGTAAAGCTTAATCTGTGCAGGAGACACAGCAATCCCACAGGTTGATCCAAGACCACAAACTAACTCCCACAGAAATTAAGGACGATCACAAATCTCACCATCTTCCGCTTCAAGTGCAAGGCACATATCAACCTTGCTTTCTCAAGGACATAGCAGCAGGTACACAAAAACCCACTCAAACAAAACATGATACTGCACACACTAGTCTCCCTCTGGGGAGACTACAAGCGAAAGAATGAACCACAAGTGACATGTTAGTCAAGTCACTTAATTCATTACTGGAAGGCACTTGTATACTACAGTGATGAAGGCGATATAAGAACCTATAGTATATGGAACAGAACTCTGAGCAGCTGAAACCTCCCTCAGTAGGCAAGCTCCTTTCAACTGTGCACTTGTAGTGTAGTAACATTTAATTGATCTGTTATACTGAATAAAATTCAAACTAGTAATAGCTTTAAACCATAAGATCCAAAGAGGAACAAATGCATGCTATACGGTCATGAAATTCATTACATAAATTCAGGCGGTAGAGTTTTATTTGATACTAACTTGTTATTACACAAAACAACGTGGCCTGTCTGTTTTCAGATCTGGCAGCCCCTACAGACTTACCTTTGTATTACAGTTTGTAAGCTCAGCATCATACCCAGTTCACTTTTCATCTTTTCTCTGTTGGCCCGGCATTCTGCCAAATACCGGAGAGCCTAAAAGAAAAGAAGGATAATAACCCATCAGAAGCTGCTTCTGTTATTTCATCATTATTTTCTATTTCTGATATTTCAAATAATGAACTATTTAACAATTCATAGTTTCTAAAATAAAAAAAGGTGTTGGATAGTTAGAATATGCAATTTCAGTGCACCAGCTCCACCTCAGAGACATTTGCCACATCGTGCTAGGTGCAAAAAAGAAGCAGCAATTACAGGCATAAGATGCCTCTTTAGAATATTCAGACAGAACCTGGAACAGAAGACTGCCACCGTTACCCTCCTCTTTTGTGAATATTAGGGAAAGTCTGAACATTGTTAATAGATACAAAGAAATAGTTGAAATGTACCCTTTCTGAGATTCACAAATGCAATACAATACACATTCTGGAGGTGGGGTCCCAAGAAAAGAAAATCTTTCTGAAACACTCAAAGTTTGCATTCAAGTGTTCTTATACTGATTATTTCCATGGGTCTCTTCTTTCATGGAATACAGAAACAGTTGGCTGAACTCACGAAAACCTTACGCATAACTCAATGGCAGCTCTCTGTTTGTATGTATTTTTGAACACCAGATCCAATCAATTCCAAACATGATCATCTGTTTAGCACAGCTACAGCTCTAAAGCACCTCTGAAATTCTCTACAGATCTATCAACTAGTTGACAGCAGCCATTAAAACCTTCAGGTATAACAATACCCCATCTCATTTCTGCCTACCCCCAATAGAGTTTAACACGCTGATGTCCTGAATCATTTCTCTCTCAGACAAATAATAATGGCAGGGAGAGGAAGGGGAATGTGAATGTGTGCACAGACTCTAGCATGGGGGAGAGGAAGAATGGGGGTGCGGGGGGCACACAGAACCCCTGGCAGTGGGAGGGGAAGTTAGGGTACCCTGGTATGTGGGGAGGGTGGCACACAGAGTCCCTAGCATAAGGTGAATAGGGAAATGGGGGGCACACAGAGATCCTGCCATGTAGAGAGAAGTAGGAATGGGGGGCACAGAGACCCTCCCATTGGGGCAGAATGGAAAGCCATAATATGGAAGGAGAGAGGAAGCGGGGGAAGGGATGCACATAGAAACCCTGGTTTGACAGGGAAAATGGGAGACCCAGGGTGCTCCTCATGCTTTGGAAAAGCTCCCCATATACATTTTCAAAATTAACTCATTATTCTCCTTCAAAACCCTCCTATAAACTCCAGTTTGCTCAGAGGCCTACATAAACTTTGACCACCAGTGATCACACTGACCAATACTGTCTCATTGCTTTGTTGTATTCTCCAATCTGGCTGTACCCAGCTGTTATCTCTTTTTAAGCTCTCTGGGGTAGAGACTGTCTTTTTGTTCTGTATTTGTATAGCGTCGGTATTATGGGGTTGTCATAAATATAAAGGGAAGGGTAAACCCCTTTGAAATCCCTCCTGGCCAGGGGAAAGCTCCTCTCACCTGTAAAGGGTTAAGAAGCTAAAGGTAACCTCACTCGCACCTGACCAAAATGACCAATGAGGAGACAAGATACTTTCAAAAGCTGGGAGGAGGGAGAGAAACAAAGGGTCGGTGTGTCTGTCTATAGTCTGTCTTTGTCGGGGATAGACCAGGAATGGAGTCTTAGAACTTTTAGTAAGTAATCTAGCTAGGTATGTGTTAGATTATGATTTCTTTAAATGGCTGAGAAAAGAACTGTGCTGAATAGAATAACTATTTCTGTCTGTGTATCTTTTTTGTAACTTAAGGTTTTGCCTAGAGGGGTTCTCTATGTTTTGAATCTAATTACCCTGTAAGGTATCTACCATCCTGATTTTACAGGGGGGATTTCTTTATTTCTATTTACTTCTATTTTTATTAAAAGTCTTCTTGTAAGAAAACTGAATGTTTTTTCATTGTTCTCAGATCCAAGGGTTTGGGTCTGTGGTCACCTATGCAAATTGGTGAGGCTTTTTATCCAACATTTCCCAGGAAAGGGGGGGTGCAAGTGTTGGGAGGATTGTTCATTGTTCTTAAGATCCAAGGGTCTGGGTCTGTAGTCACCTAGGCAAATTGGTGAGGCTTTTCACCAAACCTTGTCCAGGGAGTGGGGTGCAAGGTTTTGGGAAGTATTTTTTGGGGGGGAAGACACGTCCAAACAGCTCTTCCCCAGTAACCAGTATTAGTTTGGGGGTGGTAGCGGCCAATCCAAGGACAAAGGGTGGAATATTTTGTACCTTGGGGAAGTTTTGACCTAAGCTGGTAAAGATAAGCTTAGGAGGTTTTTCATGCAGGTCCCCACATCTGTACCCTAGAGTTCAGAGTGGGGGAGAAACCTTGACGGGGTCCTAGTCCATGCCTGGGACTCCTGGCTGCTATGATAATACAAATGATAAATAACTGTAATAATGGCAGAGTGGTGAAATGATGGAAACAGACTCCCTCGTGGGAGGAAATTGGGGGACCTTGGTACAGGTGGAAGGGAGGAATGGGGGCACACAGAACCCCTACTACTAGAGAGATATGGAGAAGTTTCAGGGAACCCCTGAAATGAAGGGGGATGGAAGGGTGGCACACAAGGAGCTTATGGGGGCATGGAGGAATACAATGAGCCCCTGGTGTTTGCTATAAGCTCCCCGCTCAAGAAGTGTGTGACCCTCTTAGTAGATCTATTGGAAAAATGTGCCTGTTGATGCAGGGGACTAGGAATCAAGGCACCCCGGTTCTATGGAAGAAACACTGGTAAAGTCACTTGCTTTCTCTGTCCTTATTTCCATTTTATAAATGACAACACAGCTTAAGTATTTCACAGGGGTGCTGAACAGCTTGTTGTAAGACTGCATGTGCAACACCTTCTTAACGCAGGCAAACTTACCCACAGAACCGTATTTTGATTAAAATCTGTTAGGGATATGCTACAGTATTTATGGCATTCCTTAGATTTGTTATTTTCTCTTTAAAAAAAAGGATAATCTGGAATTGTTTGGCAAGGGGGATCCCCACCTTGTTTAATGTGTCCCTTGAACAGCAAGATACAGGTGCCTGTGGAACCCTTCTTGGGAACCTACATCTCGTGCCATTGCAAATGTCATGTAAAAAGCAAAATTTTCAGTGTTGTAGAAATATGGATGAGATACACCACCCCCAGTGTTCAGCTGTGCAAGTCAAAACACTTTGAACAAGGCAGGGCACCAGAGGATCTCTGCCTTATTCGACGTGAAAGCTTCAACTAACTTGAACTTTTAGTAGACAACCAAATTAACTACAATATATGCACAAGGCATCCTATCTTCCACACTGGAGAACTGCTGTAAGAAATATTACTAGCATGTTAATTTACTGCCCAAGTGCAATGTGCAATTTTTAAAGGCTCAAAACTCAATGAAAACAAAAACAACTTTCACCAGAACACTCAAAGGGGCTTCTTCTAAGACACTTCTGCCCTCAGTCACTTCACCATTACAGCCATAAAAAAGCCATATTTAATAAAAAATTCTTAATGAGAGAAAGTAGTTTATGTATCTACTTTCTGAATACTCAACAGCAGCTCTACTGTTTATACTCATACTTCAAAAATAGAACCAACATTTCAGATAATAGTCTGACTCTAAACATAGATTTATAAAGGAAACCCTTGAGTAGCCTTAATCATTGCTATTGCTAGGGCTCCACTTCTAATAAAGAGTGATTTTTTAAGATTTTGGGCATGCCACAAAGAGGATGTTGTAGCCTCAAACCGAAGAAATAAATAAAAAGAAGAGCAGTAGAATGTGCCACAATGTACAGAATAGATACTGCTCTTTTATCAAAAAGCTGTTGAAACAAAAAGAGGAGTACTGAAGTGGGACGGAAATACCAGGCGAAAGAACTCAAAGATTTTTCAGCCTCCAAGTCTCAATTTACTTGTATTACATAGTTTCTCCATTTTTTTGATCAACAGCTAGAAAGTGAAAAATGTATCTCGTTCATGGGATTCCTGGATATTATATGTAATGTTCATCTGATGTGTTTGGAATCATTGTTCACGATGCCATGACTTTAACAGAAATTTCATTTTATTAAACTACCTCAAGGGCAGACTGCTAATTACTCTCCTATGACAAGAAAAAAAGAAAAATCTGAAAAAGGTTTTTATGACGACGACTGTGGCAAAGCTTCAGAGGCACCTTACAGCTAATGATTTGATAGCTTTAATCTATTTCGTATCCAGGTAGAGCTTTGATTGCTGTTCCCCAAGCCTGTGATATGGACTTATTTGCTGCCCAAGGTTTTGTTTTCTTGTCTTTACAGATGAACTTTTCTGCAAAATTTGATACTGCTGACTAGAGGTTTCCAGCAATTGATTATTGGCACTGCTTTGTTTGCAACACCACTTTCTTGGTTAAAATCTCAAATTTCTCAGCTGATGAGATGTATTGTATTTCCAGTGTTACCTTTTTGTGGGGGGAAAGGGAGGTGGCTCCCAAGGTCAATATAGTATTGTGCTTGAAGGGTTTCCTCGAAGCACTAGCTTATCTACCTGCATTCCAGGACCACACATGACAGACTCATACCTGAGATATACTCAGATAGCTGAGGACTTTGCACAAGTACTCAGTGTGTTACATAATTGCTTTTGTGATAATAAATTGTGAAAGTTGACTCATTCCCTAAATGGAATCATACAGCAGGTCTGTTGCTCAATGAACACCTCACAACAGTGTGCCTAGTCCCTTACTTATTTTATGGTAGCTATATATTGTTCTTTCCAAAGATGTATTTCTAACATTTATTCTCAAATCCTACCTTTATTTTTGGCATGTTTTATAGTTAGAATGCAAGGCCATTTTATTTCCATCTGAGTAATCTGAAGTCCTTTAAAGTCTCTGGTTCTACATTTATGACAGTTTAACTACAACCTTTGCTATCCTGCCAAGATGTGGAGACTCATACACTTCTATCAAACTCTACTAATCATTTCCACTTATAGTCTGAGTTTCCATGCACTGCTGTTCAAACACTTCTAGAAGTCTGTCTAAACAGTCATTGGAATTAAAGACCTGAGCACAGTATTTCCATGTTGAGACAAACAGCTGTCTATTCGGAAAGCAAGTTACCTGACTTCAAATTGCAAACCTTGATGGAAAAGCATAGCAGGTGGAAGCATTTCAGGTTTCTTGATTTGTGGAAATTCACTGTATTTGAGGGTGAAGTTTGTTGCAAATATAGCACAGGCTATATTTATCTCTGTTTATCAATTTTGTGTTTAAGTTTGTGTTGTTTTTACAATAAGGATGTTAATGAGGCAATGGACTTCTCCTTATCAGAACAGATGAGCTTTTAAAGTGTGGAACTTCTTAGTAGGAAAAGAAATCTATGTAAAATCTGAAACTCTACTAACAATTAGGAAAACTAAAGAAACAAGTAAAACAAATCCATCCATTTTAGGAATTTAAAACTATGAAATGGGAAGACAGGAAAAAGCTAGCACTATATACATAATACAACATGAAGTAAAATTTAAAAATCTATTTAAATAAAAAAATTATGATTTTTTTAAAAAAATTGATTTTTATTCACCCACTTCCAATCAAGAGAAAAGGCATTATGTCAGTGCAGTACTTAGATTTTAAGAGTCACATTATTCACATTCATCAGGTACAAGCAAAGTCTGAAGAGAAGCATGCATACAGTTACATGTGACAAGCTATATTCTAGCTTTTTCCTCTGCATACCCAAAGTTAGAGGGTTACCTTCTAAAACACACACACACACACAGTAAATTAATCTATAACAACTTGTTCTCCAATTTCAGAATGATTTTGTCACTCATTAATTGTTGAAATGGGGGTGGCAGAAAATTAAGCATGACAGTGACAATAATTTGACATAAGGTACAAGCAGCAAACAAAGCAAATAAAAAGCCCACTGATCTAAAAAAAAAAAAAAAAAATCGATTACTTACTAGTAACGCTGAGTGAACAACTGGAGGGCTAGGGTGATCCAAAAACAAAATAAGGCCTGGCAGACATCCCTGATCCTGAACGATGGCTCGTCTATTTAAAGGGTCAGCTGCTAGGTCTCGCAGCTGGTTAACTACTGCTAGCGCATCAGGCTCCTCACTCATAGTGGAGTTCATTTTCCTATGCCAACACCTGTTGAATAAATTCTGTATTAGTAACAGTTTATTATTAATGAATCTCTGATTAAACTGTAGTCAATATAGAATGCAACACTCTGTCTTGTTCTTAGGGGCATACAGACAAATGGAACTCACAATATGCGGACTCTATACCACGGAAACTAGAAATTTAAGAGTCCATATACAGAGAACGACAATTTTTGTTAATTGTCTACTAGTTCAATCTTCATGTATAATTTTTAGGCCTGACAATCTTTACAGAAGATACATAGGCAATAATTGATAAAAGTATTGTCAAATACTGCTTAGACCAATTATGGTCATGGATGAAGAACCAACAGTTTATTAACGATGACACTGTCTATGGAAACCTAAAACGTACTATCCCAATTCTGTATTATATCTAAAGTAAATCTGTAAAGAAACATACAATCCATGTTTCCATAATAAATGTTTTAAACTGCAAGTTTCAGCTTTCATATTAATCTCTTACACACAACAAACGTGTACCAAAAAAGCAAATCAAAATTTGTATCCATGACATCAGGCACTTCTAACGTTTTACTTCATTCTGGAATTACATATCAAATATGTATAACCCAGCACAAATTCAAGCCCCTTACAAAGTACCTTTGGTATTCTCTCTCTACTGAATACTTTTGGTATTCTCCGTCTTAAAATAAATAAATAAGGCATGGGCTTCATCTTGCTCCTACCAAAGACAAGGGGAACCAGTTTGATTTTGAATGAAGGAGATGTTGGGTGGACAGCACTGGACTCTAAAGCTGCCTAAAGAGAGAACAGTTACATCCTGGATAGCAACAGCACAAGTTTTCCTATGGGATGCCCCTCAGTAGTGGAGGAACCATATCTTGAGGTGAAAAGTTAGTTAAGATCAAAGGACGGATCCTCAGTTGTTCTGAGACTGACAAGTAGAGTACAGACTACGGACCTGTTCTTGACAGCACTAACTCAAGTACTCAACTTTAATACTCATGAGTATGATTAAAGCAACATTGTCAGCTTGACTTTTCTTTTTAAATGGATTGATTTTTTATAAAAAAAAAAAAATCCAAGTTTCTAACAGATCACTCTTTAAACAGTATGCCCTGTTTTTTTTAAAAAAAATGTTGAAGAAAAATTGTATACAGTTTCTTCTGCTCTCATCTTGAAGTTTATAAAGACCTTTTCAGAAAAAAAGAAACACTCTGTGGAGGAAACAGTGAAACTCATCAGGGTGGATTTAAATCACAAGTCAAGATGACTCAATTTAATCATGGATTTCTACATAAAAGTGCATTCTTGTGGGTTGTTATAACCTTAATACATATTCTTCACAACTCAGAGACAAATGTAGGTTTCATTTTTGGAAGGTACATACTATACATTTTTAAAGTAATTTATTTTGAAAACTTTTCAGATTAGTTTTATAACTATATCAGAAAATGAATGATTGTTTGGTTATTTCATTTACCAAAGGTAACTGAAGCAGATATTTATGATCTCCAGTTCAACAGGATAATCACTAATATTTGGAGGATTTTCTTGCCATGCTGTATTAGGAGGAGAACATCACCAGACAGACATTTAAATGGTTTTAATTAAAACAACATTATGTATTCTAGATTTTTGAATTTAGTTAAACATTCAAGCTTTTTAAAATCAGGTTTGTTTTTGTTAAAAAATTTTTTAACTAAAATAGTTAAATGAAATATTTTAGATCTATTCCACCCCCAACAATCTTCTATTCATTGAACTTTTTGCACTTTTACAGAACGGTAAGGGTTTGACTCTGTGTACACAAATTTGCAGAGGGGCAATAGGGTTGAGGTCTTATTTCTCACCTCTATACATTATTTATTTATTTAAAAACATTTTTTGCTGTTAACAAGCATGATATCTCTGGAGACACAAATCCACAGTTTGAGAACAGCAAAACTAGGCATCTCTGATGGTATCTTCTTGACTGAGCACTGAGTCCCATTGGGTAGATGGAAAGATTAACCTAAATAATCTATACAGAAGCCCCTGGAGCCCCATAAGATTGAGTCCCTAATCCATTCAATACAAAATGGAATTCAATACAAAACTTTCTTAAATATTACATGAATATATTGTCTCATATTGTAGAATTAGAATTTATAATCCCTATTCCATGATGAGATATCTTTGAGCTATAATGTATCTATCTTTAGATAGGTTTTTTCCTCAAAAAGCATTTTATCAAAAAAAAATCCGATTTAAATAAAAAAAATCAGATTTTTTTTAAAATCATTGATTTTTATCCACCTGGAAAGTCATTAAATACTCAAAATAAACACACACACAAAAAGAAAGAAAAAAAATCTTAGGCTTTACTTGTAACTATAGTAGGTTCAAAAGTTAAGAACATAAGAACAGTCATACTGGGTCAGAGCAAAGGTCCATCTAGCCCAATATCCTGTCTTCTGACAGTGGCCAATGCCAGGTGCCCCAGAGGGAATGAACAGAACACATAATCATCAAGTAATCCATCCCCTGTCACTCATTCCCAGCTTCAGGCAAACACAGGCTAGGGCAGGGGAGGCCAACCTGAGCCTGAGAAGGAACCAGAATTTACCAATGTACATTGCCAAAGAGCCACAGCCATACGTCAGCAGCCCCCCCATCAGCTCCCCGTACCTCCCGCCCACCAGCAGCCCCTCCCCCCTTCCTCACACCTCCTAATCAGGTGTTTTGTGGCGTGCAGGAGGCTCGGGAGGAGCGAGGGCATTCCAGGCTCACGGGAAGGGGTGGGAATGGGTGGAGTGGGGGCAGGGCCTGTGGCAGAGCAGTGAGCACCCCCCCCCCCGACACATTGAAAAGTTGACGCCTGTAGCTCCAGCCCCGGAGTCTGTGCCTATACAAGGATCCGCATATTAACTTCTGAAGAGCCGCATGTGGCAACTCCTGGGCTAGGTACACCATCCCAGCCCATCCTAGCTAATAACCATTGATGGACCTATCCTCCATGAATTTACCTAGTTCTTTTTTGAACTCCGTTATAGACTTGGCCTTCACAACATCCTCTGCCAAAGAGTTCCACAGGTTGACTGTGTGTTGTGTGAAGCAATACTTCCTTTTATATGTTTTAACCTTCCCTTTTATCCAATGACTGCTTACTTTGGTTAAGACAGTGTTTCTCAACCAGGGCTCCAGGGCTCCCTGGGGGGCTGCAAGCTGGTTTCGGGGGGTCCGCCAAACAGGGCCGGAATTAGACTTGCTGGAGCTCAGGGCAGAAAGCCGAAGCCCCACTGCCTGGGAAACATAGCTTCATGGGGCGCCAGGCAACTGCTGTGCTTGCTACCCCCTAACGCTGGCCCTGGCTTTTATATGCAGAAAAGCCGCTGTTGTGGCACAGATGGGCCGTGGAGTTTTTGTAGAATGTTGGGGAGGCCTCAGAAAGAAAAAGGTTGAGAACCTTTGGTGAGGGACCTTGTCAAAGGCTTTCTGAAAATCTAAGTACACTATGTCTACTGGATCCCCCTTGTCCACATGCTTGTTGACCCCCTCAAAGAATTCTAGTAGATTGGTGAAGCATGATTTCCCTTTACAAAAAGCATGTTGACTCTTCCCCAACAAATCATGTTCACCTATGTGTATGATAATTCTGTTCTTTCCTATAGTTTCAACCAGTTTGCCTGGTACTAAAGTTTTCAGACCAATGTGAGGTTCAGGTGTGATGGTGTCCGTTTATGTTATTAGTATTTCCTTCACACAGAGTGTTAAAGTGAAGAACTGGTGCAAATGACCAGCTTCAAGGTTAATTTTTAAGGAGTTAACACCATAAGGTCTATACAGATCAAATAAGAAGCTACCATTTCACATAATAATTAGCATTTTACATTTGCAAAGCATTCTGCACACAATTTTCACAAAATCCCTGTAAACCAGGTAACTATTATCATTCCCACTTTATAGATGGCAAAACAGACACAGATACTTTAAGTAATTTACTTAAAACCAGACATCAAGTCAATTACAGAGCTAAGATTGTAACCAGAGTGCTTTATTTCCAGTCCCATGCTCAATGCATCAGATCATTCATACCCTTTTATTATATACTACAAACAATTATTTTATTGGACCAACTTCTGTTGATGAGAGAAACAAGGTTTTGAGCTTACACAGAGCTCTTCTTTCAGGTCTAAGAAATTAACTCAGGCCTGAAGAAGAGCTTTGTGTAAGCTGAAAAGTTTGTTTCTCTCACCAACAGAAGCTAGTCCAATAAAAGACATTACCTCACCCACCTTGTCTTTCTAACTTACTGGGACCAACAAGGCTACAACAACACTGCATACAAATAATTCTGTTATTTTTATATGTTTTTAATTTAAAAAAGGCAAAGCCATGTTTCTAATCCCCCCCCTCCAAAAAAAAATAGCAAGAATTTTTGTCTGGACATCATAACTCCTAAATTATTTTCACATCTTTTACACGGATTTTCTATGTGATCTCAGAAAATAACAATCTCGCTCTGCTTTAGTTTCCTTATCATCTGTACACTGGAGATATTTACTGACCTCACATGGGTTTTGTGAGAATACATTAGTATTTGTAAGTGCTTTGAAATCCTTGGTTAGGGCATCGCAGAATGTAGCGTTATTAGTCATACTCATGGGAAAACATCAGTTTCAGGAACCCATCCCCTACACTTTTTAAAAAATAATCCAAACCCTCCTAATTGCAGTAATATGGAAACTAGTAAGGTTGTTGCATATAAGCACTCAATTTGCAAAAGCAGCAACAGATGGTTGAGTCCAGAATAACCCAGTTACTTTCTTCCCTCTTCGCTAGTGGGAAAAACTGTTGCTCCAAGGAGCAAAAAACCGCTAGGACTTGTTTAGATCTTGCCACTGGACCTAGTCCGCTAACGCAGCTGCCCGCACCCAAACCTTAGCAACTACAGATTCCGCGCCCCCGACCGTACCACGCTGCCCAGAGGCCAACCCAACCCCTGTGGCCATCACTCTCCTCACACCCCTTCCAGCCTGAAAAGTGTGTGCCCGGGGTCGCAGCCTTTAAACCCCACTGCTCCCGCCTCACCGTCTCCAGCTGCCTCCTCAGCCGACCCGCTCCTTGGGCAAGTCCATTTCCCCTTACTCCTGCCCCCGTCCCCTCCAGCGGCTTCACCCTCTTCTCAGGACCCGACCCAAGTTCCTGCCTTGCACCGCCGGGACAAGGCGCCTTCCCCAGCCCACTTACCGCTGCAGGAAGGTTTCACAGGCCCGGGCGCCTCAGCATCGTGCCCGGGCCGGGCTTTGCGTCGCTGAGGCCTGGTAACGGGCGTCAGTGGGGGACAATAGCGGGGGAAGGGAATTCAGATCCTCTACACACAGGGCACCCACCGGGACCACCTACCGCACCCCGATTGGCTGAAGCGAACAGCGCCCCTCCGCCATTCACAGCAAACGTTGTTACACCACAGTCTGATTGGCTGCTCCTAGGGCATTGTGGGTACAGTAGGGTCAGCCCAGGGAAACTACACGTTCCAGTGCCTGTGCCTGGCGCGCCCGGGCTCCCGCTGGAGAAATGCATGCTGGGATATGTACTCTCGGTGGGGCGATGGCTCTACCACGAGCACTGCATGCTCCACAGTGTAGTTTGTTGGCCATTCTGGTCCAGCGGTGCCTTGCGTTTTGCTACCTGTTGTCTACTGACGTGCCGCTGGAACATTGCATGCTGGCATCCGCAGTCTCTGTGAACCCTCAGGAACATTGCATGCTGGTACCTGTAGTCTCCGCATGCTCAAACCCCTGACGTTTGGCAGCGTTGTATAAATTGATTTAATCTAGGCAGTAGTGGGCTACTGTGGATAACCCTGATATGCACGAGAGGTTACTACTTTTACTGAAAATATAATGCAAGGCAATCTGTGGTACAAAAGGCTTCAATACAGTCAACCTTTCCATATATGGCAGGGGATATTCTCCCATGCATCCGATAAAGTGAGCTGTAGCTCACGAAAGCTCATGCTCAAATAAATTGGTTAGTCTCTAAGGTGCCACAAGTACTCCTTTTCTTTTTGCGAATACAGACTAAGACGGCTGTTACTCTGAAATCTCCCATTAAAGTGCCTTAATGGTGATCACAGCACAGCTTCCAAGTAGGGGAAAGTATTCAGTGTTCCCTTATTCAGTTCTACAGAAGGTGAAACGAAATCCCTGGTTTCACAGAACCAGTCCTGACACAAAGAGTGCACTGCAAAACTAGAACAGATCCGGTCATCTAGAATCCTGTCACTTTACGGATCTAAGGCAAAATAATTTGATTGAAATGCCTCTTTAAAGACCACTGTCAACTAAACAAACAAAACTTTGCAGACGAATATCTTTACCTGTGTTTCTATTATCAATTTAGATTAGATTTTAAAGTTAAATAATAATACAAATCCCGTTTACACTATTTATGCATTTTGTTTACTTCTGCACTTCTCTCAGCTTGTACAATGAAAAGTTTCAAATTTGAAACTGACAATCAGGCCCTTTTTCTGCTATAACCATTGCAGGTGAATGTTAATTTTTTTAAACAAAAGTTTTCATTTTTGTTTGATTTTGTTTTTATTTGTGGAAACATTTGTAATTTTTTTAGGTTTTATAAAATCTTCTTTTATCAGCATTTAAATTTGAAGCTAAATTTAAATTGACTGTTTAATCCAATGTTACTGTGTTCCAAAATTTGGAAAGCTGAACCTCTCTACCCTTTTCGGAAAATGAAACCAATTATGCCCCTCTTGCAACCTTGGTTTGTGATGATAGAGGCCTACCCATCTTAATGTATACATCTTCTGCACCCTCACAGCTAGCCAGTCCTTCATGGAAAAACTTATGTAGATTTTCATAATAATATACTTCTTTCCTTTCTTACGTGCTTTCTTGAGCAGTGAAATTGTTAGCAATATTGACATATAAAGTATCACTGGCATTTCAGTTAGCACCCATTGAAAAGAATGGAGCGGTCCACACCTTAAGACTCTCTGCAAGATTATATGGATATCCACTTAAAATTTTGAAAATTTTCCTTCCAAACCCCGATAGCTAGAGACCATTCTTTTTAATGAAAGTTGAGACTCTGAACAAGTAAGGGATCTGCGTGTGCACCTCCTGCACCTACTAGTCCTCTCTCCCTCTCTCTAGTGGTAAGTCTTACACTTTGAAAAACATTGCTTTACTCACAGCTCAGTGTGTTGGGTTTAAGAATTCCAGCAATACTATTAAATTGCCGTATGAGTGGTGTCTGAACAGAGTAACATACACAATAATCTATGAAAAGGCCAATTTGAAGAGACGAATAGGGATGCATTTTTCAATTCAATTAAAATAAAGCAGACCAAGAGAGCTGTCACAGTTTCACGGTGAACTGCACCTTTGATTCCTACCCCTGCTCCCCTCCAGGGCGCCTACTTAAGGTTTCAGGCTCCAGCCATCACCTCTCTCAGGCAGAGACCCATATCTCTCTCCCTTGGACCAGGGCTTTAGGCTTGTAGTGCCTCTGTACCTCACTGTGATTTCCCCAGCAGTTCTGACCAAGTCCCAGCACCTGTAGTTAACCTTTCTTCAGGGCCTACAACAGTGTATGTACACCATTACCAGCCAACCTTCACAAAGCACAATACATTTATTCTTATGGTCAAACCATTACAGAGAAAACATACAAAAAAACCAGTAAACTGATTTAAACACACTAAATGTACCAGGAGTTATCAACCAGTCTTATGGGACTCAGTAGACCACAGTCTTTCCAATCCTTCCCCTGTTCCCCTAGAGTTGCTCCCCTCCCTTGGAAAGAACATTCTGTCTATGCTGGGTCAAGCTCACCTTTTCATGCCAAAAAAGCCCTTTGTCTGCTGGAAAACCCAGTCTGAAACACTATATGGTGGTCTCTCTCTGGAGGCATTTACAACCTGAGTGACTCAAGCACTTGAGTGAAGCACTTGGAGGAGAGGAAGGTGATCAGGAACAGTCAACATGGATTCACCAAGGGCAAGTCATACCTGACCAACCTGATTGCCTTCTATGATGACATAACTGGCTCTGTGGATATGGGGTAAGCGGTAGATGTGATATATCTTGACTTTAGCAAAGCTTTTTATACGGTCTCCCATAGTATTCTTGCCAGCAAGTTAAAGAAGTATGGATTGGATGAATGGACTATAAAGTGGATAGAAAGCTGGCTAGATTGTCGGGTAGTGATCAACGGCTTGATGTCTAGTTGGCAGCCAGTATCAAGCGGAGTGCCCCAGGGGTCAGTCCTGGGGCCAGTTCTGTTCAACATCTTTATTAATGATCTGGATGATGGGATGAATTGCACCCTCCCAGCAAGTTTGCAGATGACACTAAGCTGGGGGAGAGGTAGATACGCTGGAGGGTAGGGATTGGGTCCAGAATGACTTAGACAAATTGGAGGATTGGGCCAAAAGAAATCTGATGAGGTTCAACAAGGACAAGTGCAGAGTCCTGCACTTAGGAAGGAAGAATCACAGACACCACTACAGGCTGGGGACCGACTGGCTAAGTGGCAATTCTGCAGAAAAGGACCTGAGGATTACAGTGGATGAGAAGCTGGATATGAGTCAGCAGTGTGCCCTTGTTGCCAAGAAGGCCAATGGCATATTGGGCTAGTATTAGTAGGAGCACTGCCGGCAGATAGAGGGAAGTAATTACTCCCCTCCATTCGGCACTGGTGAGGCCACACCTGGAGTACTGTATCCACTTTTGATCCCCCCCCACTATAGAAGGGATGTGGACAAATTGGAGAGAGTCCAGTGGAGGGAAATGAAAATGATTAGAGTGCTGGGGCACATGACTTATGAGGAGAGGCTGAGGGAACTGGGGTTATTTAGTCTGCAGAAGAAAAGAGTGAGAGGAGATTTGATAGCAGCCTTCAACTACCTGATGGGGGGTTCCAAAGAGGGTGGAGCTAGGCTGTTCTCAGTGATGGCAGATGACAGAACAAGAAGCAATGGTCTCAAGTTGCGGTGGGGGAGGTCTAGGTTGGATATTAGGAAATACTATTTCTCTAGAAAGAACAGGAGTACTTGTGGCACCTTAGAGACTAACAAATTTATTTGAGCATAAGCTTTCGTGAGCTACAGCTCACTTCATCGGATGCTCACGAAAGCTTATGCTCAAATAAATTTGTTAGTCTCTCAGGTGCCACAAGTACTCCTGTTCTTTTTGTGAATACAGACTAACACAGCTGCTACTCTGAAAACTATTTCTCTAGGAGGGTGGTGAAGCACTGGAATGGGTTACCTAGGGAGGTGGTGGAGTCTCCATCCTTAGAGGTTTTTAAGGCCCGGCTTGACAAAGCCCTGGCTGGGATGATTTTGTTGGTATTGGTCCTGCTTTGAGGAGGGGCTTGGACTAGATGACCTCCTGAGGTCTCTTCCAACCCCTAATATTCTATGATTCTATGACTCGATTTAATCGCTCCCCGCTGTTTTTATTTCTTAGAGGAGCTGTGGTCACCCTCCTGCCCTGCAGTTCCATATAATGTCCACAGTGATACATACATAAAAAACATGGTCCCTAAAGATATTACATGCAGTTAAATGTCTGTCACAAGAGCTTTTAGAAGGGTCAAGAATAGATTTTTTTTTGATACACATATAGATGCTATTAGCCGCCTTTATAACAAACATACATGCCCTTTCTCACCAACTAAAAGTAAGAACTTCATTCTTCAGGAATGCTTTAATGGATACATCCCCAGCAGGGATGTATTCAATAGTATTCAGAAAAAATGATGAGCTCAACCAGGCTTCCTGTGGTACAAACCCAGTGTCACACCAGGCCAATGAGCCATACAAGTGCAGAGTGGACAAAATGCTTTGCTTTTCTGTGCACCAAAACCATGAATAGTAAAAGCGAGGGATTAATTTTAGCCCCACATTGGTCTTTTGTTAAAATAATAGTAACACAAAGAGAAATATTTTATGGGTTTAAAATAAACCATTCACTAACTTTTTAAAAAATAATAATTCTTGTGCCGTGCTGGAAACCCAAACACAACAGCACCCAGCGCTGGAGGAGACCAAAGCGCAGCACCATCCAGGGAAGGGAGAACCAGTCCCAGAGCGCAGCTGGTCGGACAGGCGGAGACAGGATCACGCAGGGAACAAGGTCCGGGTGCACGCAGGGAGCTGGGGGGGGGTGTCACCCCCCTATCGGGTTTTGTCCTTGACTCTTCCACCGGGGACAGCAGCATGTCACCACTGCGCGCAGGATCCCAGGCCCGCGCGCGCACGCTGAACGGCCAATCACGGCTTGCTGGGCCGCCCAGGAGGCGACGTCACGGGATTGACTCTTGGCAGGCGCCCTTCAATCACGGGCGTGGGCGGGTGGCCCGGCCCCTGGGCGG